AGTCATATTAGGTAAAGTAAATAAAGACTATATTTATATAACTTATGTCAGTTTAGGTCAGGGTTTGCTGCCAAACAAGTTCAGGTCAGATTTTATCACTAGTTTAATTAATTATTAAAAACAGAACAAAACTTTTGGTTTTCAAAGCTTTCTAGATTTTAGGAGTTGATAAGGAATTGTAGACTTGTACTTCCTATTTCTAATTCCTCAACTTTCACTGCAAACTAGACTGAAGAAGGAAAGAGACAAATGTTTGTTAAAAAAGTCTATTACTTGCTGGGTTTTGCCGCTGATGATTTCATCTAATTCCAACAGTTCTTTAAGACAGAGATTATCATTTCCATTGAAGAGATCAAGAAACTAAAAAGATTACAAAGTACAGTTACTTGCCCACGGTCCCATAGTTAGCAAATGCCAATCATGATTCAAATCCAGGACTTAATCCAAAATTGATGTTGTTTCACTTACATGTATGATCTTCAAAGTTAGTATTTACACAAATTTCACAAAGCATTATCACAGGAATTTTCTCACTGTAAGGCAGGTAAGTATTATTTCTCACATTACAGACAAGGAAGCTGAAAAGCCTTTAAAACCAGCCTATCAAATGTAACCACTGTAAAAAAGCCATCTTGAAGCTCTACTCCCTGAGACATAATTTATCATTTCTTCTTCACTAATTCCACCTGTGTGAGTATTTTCAATTACTGGGACATATTAGTAATTTATCCTTATATTTCTGTGTCTGCTAACAGACTGAGAGTTTTTCAGGGACAAAAACCAAGTCTAATTTATCTTTATGTCTTCCATACTTAGCAAGAGTGCCTGACACCTACTTGTCCTCAAGAAAAGTTGAATGAATGAAGGAAGAAACAAATGAACAAAATGAACAAACATGCTCAGTTTAGGCTGATGGACGAGTCTAGGCTGACAGCTGATGGTGGAACATACAGGTGATATCCAGCAGAAAAGGTCATCAAATAAAGTTTATACATACTCTGGACCATAAAATGCTGAAATTCATTTCAAGAGAAGTTTCTACCTTGGGCAATATGATCAGTAATACCAGTGGGAGCAGATTCATTCATAGAAGCACTGAATGGAATTGGCTCATAATGAGGTGGCATTTCTCTTTCTATGTTGTCTGCTGCTGGGGATGTCACAAAAGAGGATTGATCACTCACATTTGAGTCATATTTTGACTTTCGGGAATAATGCCTGTAAAAGAAAATCGCATTGTATAAGAAATATGAGTCATGGCCTATACCTTAAAGTGCTAAGGTATGAAAACAAGTTATCCAATTTCTAAAACAACCGTAACTTTTAACTGTTATTTATAAGCAATAAAATGAAGTCTGTTTCTTTATGCCACAGAAACACTTAAAAAATGTCCTGACCCACCTATACAACTTAAAAATTATTACTCTTAATATAGAGA